TATTACTAAGAACACTTACTACTATGTCAAGATCACTTAAACTATGAATACTTTTACTAAAATCACTAATAACTAAGATTACTAATAACTATTATGAAAGTCACTAGAAAACTAAGAGCACTATGAACTATGTTCATAAGTCACCTTATAACCTTCACACTCTCCAAACTCATTTTTTTCACTCTTAAGCCACAACAAGACACATTTTTCTCATTTATAATACCCACAAGTCACAACGTCACTTAGGTCAAGATCACTAAAAAACTTAAGTTCGCTAAAAAAAATTGAAGATTGCAAAACCACTAAGATCACCAAAACTAGGATCAGTATTTAATATGATCAGATTTTCACAAAAATTACGACCACCATATCCTTAAGATGACTACCAAAATCTAAGCTCACTCAAATAAAGATGAACATCAACTAACACACATTTTCTATACACATACCCTGAAAGCACTTTACCCAAGATCACTATTACTAAGACCACAGATCACTCATTTTTATAAACATTTCAAGATCTTAAATTCATCACTCTCTGTTAATTTTCGTGCTGATGTATGTTGAAACTCAGGAACTCACAACGCCGTCTATTAAAGTAGGTTTTGGGATAACATCTGAATACTCCCAAATAATTCTGAATACTCCCAGATAATTTTGAATACTCACAAATAACTTTGAACACTCCCAGATAACACTGATTACTCCCAAATAACAGTGATTTCTCTCAAATAACATTTGAATACTCCCAAATAACTTCGAATACTCCTAAATAACATTGATTACTCCCAAATAACATTGATTACTCCCAAATAACATTTGAATACCGTCAAATAACATTTGAATACCGTCAAATAACATTTAGCATCTCTAACTCAACCACCAAATTACATTCTCAATCACACATTTCATTAACTGAACTCACATCTCGTCCACCAAACTACACACTCATAATAAAAGTTTACTCACTCATTCACCAAACTTTACAACATAACCACAAAAAACTAAGACATAACATGAATACCAAAACTAAGACAAACACAGTTCAAAGAGACCTGGACAGGCTGGACACGTGGTCTAGCAACTGGCTTCTCGAATTCGACCTTGCCAAATGCAAAGTCATGAAGATCGGAGAAGGGCATAGAAGACCGTAGGCTAGGTGGCCAAAGACTGCAAACCTCACTCAAGGAGAAAGATCTTGGGGGTGAGTATAACACTGAGCATGTCTCCGGAAGCACACTTTAACCAGATAATTGCTGCAGCATATGGGTGCCTGGCAAACCTGAGATTAGCGTTCCGATACCTAAGTAAGGAATCTTTCAAGACATTGTACACCGGTTACGTCAGGCCCATACTGGAGTATGCAACACCACTTTGGAACCCGCACCGGGTCAAGCATGTTAAGAAATTAGAGAAAGTGCAAAGGTTTGCGACAAGGTTAGTTCCGGAGCTAAGGGGAATGTCCTACGAAGAACGGTTAAAGGAAATCGGCCTGACGACACTGGAGGACAGGAGGGTTAGGGGAGACATGATAACGACATACAAAATACTGCGTGAAATAGACAAGGTGGACAGAGACAAGATGTTCCAGAGATGGGACACAGAAATGAGGGGTAACTCTTGGAAGTTGATGACTCAGATAAGTCACACGGATGTTAGGAAGTATTTCTTCAGTCATAGAGTGGTCAGGAAGTGGAACAGTCTGGCAAGTGATGTAGTGGAGGCAGGAACCATACATAGCTTTAAGACGAGGTATGATAAACCTCAGGGAGCAGGGAGAGAGAGGACCTAGTAGCGTTCAGTGAAGAGACGGGGCCAGGAGCTGAGTCTCGACCCTTGCAACCACAATTAGGTGAGTTAGGTGAGTACAGACACCTCCAACTAAGACATGAGATGATCACCGAAATTCTAAGACATGTAGACCTAAAACTAAACCACAAACACTTGGACCTGACGATCACCAACTAAGATGTAACATGAGCACCAACCTAATACACAATGACTTAGTATATAACATGATCACTATTCATCAAAAACACAAAACTAACACGTGATCACAAAAAAATTAATCATGATCACTTAAAACATATGAAGACAAACTTATACACAAAAAACACGATGAGTAAAAACTTGACAAGAACACTAAACACTCAGTCACAACAAATTTAAAACATGAGACATACACACCAACACTAAGACACATACACCTCCAACTAAGACTTGACATGATAAACCAAAAACTCTAAAACATAACCAAAATCTAAGACATTAACACAAAATAAGACATAAGCACAAAAATACCATGACATGAACACTGTATGATTGTGACTAGCATTTTTGTGTTCAAGTTTTAGTGTACATAAGTCTTAAGTGTTTGTAATTCTAGTTTTTTTGTGTGTGATCAAGTGTTAGTTTTGTGATTTTGGAGATTTTTTTTTGTCTGTGTGTAAAAGATTATGGCTTCATTTATTTTAAGTGTACATGTAAGTGTACATTGACTGATTATGCTTACCATTGACTGATTATGCTTACCATTGACTGATTATGCTTACCATTGACTGATTA